AAAATTTGTATGTTCAGAATCCGTTTCTCGACATTCTACACCGATTGGCATAGTCAATTTTTTACCTTTTTTTCTCAACCACGGAACTTGGAAAAGTTCCGCGAAACCCTCCGTCCAAGTATACACAGCCTGAACGAAAAGAGATAGCGGGTTGAGGAAAAGCCGCGAAACCCTCCGTCCAAGTATACACAGCCTGAACGAAAAGAGATAGCGGGTTGGTTCCAACGGCAGTCGACGCGTCTTGAAAAAACAAACGACATTGTCTAAGGTCCCGACCCTCTAGCTCCTACCGTTCAAAAGTTGGCCATAACCAAAATGGCTAACTTTTGAACTAAAAGAGCTAGACCAAAATTTCCAACGGATGAGCGCGGATCGTGGCTTGACCTTGACGATTCCGTGATAAAAATTTTTAGTGTCATTTTTCTCCGATAGGGGGCGCCCTAGGGGAAAACCGTCCGATGTGACTTCGACTCGTCTCGTCGAGCCCTACGTTTCGTCCCTTGACCCCGACCCTCTAGCTCCTACCGTTTCAAAGTTGGCACTCGCGCGCGCCACCGGAAACGGCTAACTTTTGAACTAAAAGAGATATTCGAAAATTTCCAACGGATGAGCGCGAATCGTGGCTTGACCTTGACGATTCCACCATAAAAAAAAAGTTTCGATCCGACGCCGATAGAGGGCGCGGACCCCCATATGATCACGAATCATCCAATGTTCCACCCGAATATGCAATAAAAATTTTTTCGAAAAATTCCGGGAAAACCAAGAACCCTTCGCTGTTAAAGTTGATCTAGAAGAATACACCAATAGCAGCGAATGCTCACTGTTCTGCATCCCTAGTTGAGTCTGCTAAACTCGACCAATCGGGTCAGGATTTCGCGTTACTCTTCCTGCGTGCGCTACGTGTGCTTTATTCGGAATTCCGCTCCTTACTGCCAAAATATGGATCAAGTTTCCTTTATCCGACATAATTTTTGAGAACCGATCATATCATGTCGCATTTGCTCTTGTTACAAGCGCTAAGTGATATATTTCTCAAACTCCACTTCCATTTGTCATAAATGGATGTTTCGTGTGTCCGATATACTTTTCAAGACCCAGTCACTTCGTATTGTCGCGTATGCTCTTCTTACAAACGTTACGTGGAATTTTCTCCGCTCCTAACTACCAAAATGGATGTTTCCTGTTTCCGATATAATTTTCGAAAACCAATTGTCAGGTTGGCGCGTTTTCTTTTCTTACAAGCGCTACGTGAACTTTGTTTCGAATTCCGCTCCTAACATCTAGGCACTGGATGTTTCCATCATCCGATATTTAGTTTTCGTGAACCAATCACGTCTAGTTGATGCGTTTGCTTTTCTTATAATCGCTATGTGGGCTTTTTTCCGAATTCCGCTCTTAACTGCCAGAAAATGGAGGTTTCCGGTATCTGATATAATTTTCGAGAACCAATCACGTCAGGTTGTCGCGTTTGCTCTTCTTACACGCGCTACGTGGGGTTTTTGTTTAATTCCACTCCTAACTTCTTGAAAATAAATGTTTCCGTTATCTAATATAATTTTCGAGAACAAATCACGTCAGGTTTTCGCGTTTGCCCTTCTTGCACGCGGCACGTGGACTTTTTTTCCGAATTCCGCTCCTAACTGCCAGAAAATGGATGTTTTCTGTATTCTATATAATTTTTCGAGTACCAATCTCGTCATGTTGTCGCGTTTGCTCTTCTTACAAGCGCTACGTAGACTTTTTTCGAAATCCCGTTCCTAACTTAAAATCGTCTTGACGTAACTCTATTATACGCAATTAAAAGAAAAATAAATTAAGAAGAGCTGCGAGTTAAAACAAACAAATTTTAAATGTCCATTTAATATAATTGACATTAAATAACATGTAAGTAAAACTGCCGCAACTCGTCGGTCCGCGTAATGGAGACACGGCAGAGTCGCTTCGCGCAGCTTAGCGCCGAGACACTACCAGTGTCGCCAGATGATGTTTACAAAAATCTAACGTTTCGACCATCTTTGTGTCATTTTGAAAGTTCTAAATATGTATACAAATTGTGGTTGACTACCCACACATCAATAGAGATTTATGGGATATACTAAAATCATCGCGGATATACGAAATGTATCTCAATATCTTTGAGATGTCTCATCAATATTTTATAATGACTATATCATGAATACATTTCCTGTATAAGATTCAGGAGATATCTTACCCCGAACAAAGTAAACGTGTAGTGTGTTACAGATACATACTAGGCAGTACGACGGGTTGCGCGGCAAACTTCGCATGGCCAAGCGTGGTTTAATAGACAATGACAGTGACTTTATTATAAAGTTTATACTACAAAGTTTTATTATATATATTGTAAAGTTTATGTTCTAAAGTCACTGTCATTGTCCATTAAACCACACTTGGCCATGCAAAGTTTGCCGCGCAACCCGTTGTACTGCCGGGGTGATCCCGATTGATTACGGCTCGATTGGACACCACCAATCACAGCGACTGGTGCTTTGGAGCTTTGTAGTCTCAAGCGCTGTGAGTGGCTTGTGTCCAATTGAGCCGTGTCCAACTGGGTGCCACCCGTACTGTCTAGTATGTATCTGTAACACCCTGTACAATATATCAGACATTCTGAGACATCTAACAGATAAAATATCTTCCAGTTGTTTCTAAGATGCCTCGTTATATTTAAAACTTATAGAATAGTGCGCAATTATAATGTACATACATATATAAGGGCATAATTAAGGAAATTATCTCTTTAGGTGATATTCATCTTGGAACGTATACTACTGGAAGGAGCATAGGTTTGAAAATTTGAAGCCGAGAAGATTGACAATGATGGAGGTAGAATGCAGAGAAGATTGACAAGGATGGAGATGGAATGCGTGATCTTAAATTGTAATGCGCATGCTTTTCGCCTTTTCTCTACACCCTACAAGGGTGATCCCGATTGACCACGGCTCGATTGGACCCCACCAATCACAGCGACGGCTATTTATATACATATTAGTTTAGTACTTTGAAAATAACCCAAAGATGGTTGAAACGTAAGTTTTTTTGTAGACATATTTTTATCTTATTTTTACTGTCATTTTATTTAACGTCAACTGTATTACATGTACATTAAAATTTTTTTTTGCTCGTAGCTCTGTTTTTTTTTTATTGGAATTATATGAGCCATTCTTTATTATGTACTTTTATATGCATTTGATTTGCCCAAGATGGCAGAATTCAGTCACGGTCTCATTGGCCAGCAAAAATGCCTGCCTAATGGCACATCTTGTTAGTGTACTTCCACCATGGGTCGGAAATCCAAACAAGGAACGTGTTAACAATGGCCATGTTTATCCGGTCTTTACTATCGCCGGAACCTGGGCCACTTAAATGTTAGAAGAAGAAGAACGTGTTAACAATAAGAAATAATACATCCAAATAATTTGGAAAAATGGTACGCGTTCTAGTGCGTCTACTTATTAGTGCTGTTGGTATTGTAATGGCTGTATTAGCTTTTTTTGTCTTGTTCATTATTTATGGCAATCGTGATGTCGGATTTTGGTCAATATTAACAGGTTAGCGATTTTTCCTCCGTTGACAGCGTAAATATTAAGGGATAAGTGTTTCCAACACCCTCCCTCTCCCCGTTACCATTGTTGTTGAAGTTAGGCTTATTCGATACATTTTTGCATAAAACAAAGGAATTTGGTAAAAAAATTAAAATGCCGCTCTGCCCCGTAAACCGCAATGTTAAATGTTAAAGTTGACTTTTGAGGTTAAAAAATCTGTTAGAGCTGCGAGCATCGAGCATCTTTTGCTGTCGCACTTTCATGCTCTATGGCTTCATACGCATGTGTGTAGGTATTTCTCGCTGTGTTTGATATTTGCACCGACGAGATACTAAACTCAGAGACAGTCGATTCTTATGAAGTTCAGGTCACTTAAAATTTAAGTGATACTGATAGTACGAAAGTTATTTCATGATTTTTCGTGTAGTAAACATTTATACACGATACTAAACTTAATAATCTCTAGTCTATTCTACAATGTGTTCTTGTTTTTTGTTTTAGTATTTTTTACATCTTGTCTTTTTGCTTCTTATCAAGTTTTTTGTTTTCGAGATAAAGTCTATTCTACTATGTGCCTTTTGTTTCCTGTTTTTGCTTTTTACCTCTTGGCTTCTTCCCCTCTTTGCGTTTTATCGACAATTGCATTTCTTCCTACATGTTTCCTGTTTCTCCCGAAGTTGGTCAATTTTTATCTCGGTCGACATAAAATAAAAATCCAGATAAGAAATAAAAAGACAAGATGTAATGGCTGTTCTACAAAGTGCTTTTTGTTTCCTGTTTCTTGCTGTCTGTCTGTTTGTCTTTTGCCTTTTTGATCAAGAAGGCAAGAGACAAAAAGCAAAAAACAAGAAACAAAAGCTCATTGTAGAACAGCCATAAAAAATAACAAAAAGCATAGAACTGAAAACAGAAAACACATTATAGAATAGGCTTATAACTTAGTAATACTCGATTTTTATTTAAAATTAGGATTTTAATGTTATCTCATCCATGTTTTATTATCGCAATAGAAATGATAACTGTGGAAAAAATTGTAATTTTTCGACAATATATAAGATAGTATAGCATAAAAAATATGCTTATTTATTTGTACAGCATTCATATAAAAAATTACAAATTTAATAATGTATAATCGATATATTTATATTTAATGCAAATTGTTTTTAATTGTCGATAATGTTATCGTTTTTCAATTATCCCTCGAGCCCCACTGAAATAAAATTAATAGGTAAACTCCGGTTGTAAAATTATGTCCATGAACTTGTAATCCAAATTGCATCATAGTCGACCATTAAAACTAAATAACTGATGGCTCTCTTGATATCCTGATATTGTTCTCCTGGTGTCTATTTAATGAAAATCTACAACCATCTCAAAAATACCAGAAAATATAATCCCAACAATGATCCTCCTCATTATATATATATATATAAGAATTAAGATTATGTTTTTAAAGCTCCCAGTATGTTACTGTAACCATATGTATATAATAAAATACTGGAAAGGTTTCTTTATGTACCAATTGTTAGAATAAATTAATTTTTTTAAAAGTTCAATTTCATATTGATAGATTTTGATTTGTTCTAGACTTTGATTCGTTTTTCGATGGCTGCAAAACTGCTTGAACAATAATTGTCAAGTCCTAATTTATTATTGGAAGCCCAAAGCATTTTTAGGCAATTTAAAGTGTATATTCAGAATATAGAATTAAAAGAGGAATTTTCAGTTTACTGAATTATAGAATTTGTTTATATAGTTATACTGCTATTATATTTCAAAAATATATGTAACGCGAAAAAGAGATTTGCATAACTTTTATTTCTATATTTTTATTTTTAATATCATAGTTCCATATGGTTACAGTGAATGATTTCTTAGTGCCTGTACTAAGAATTTTTAAGTTCGATATCGGTGTGTATAGGTGCCTTAGCCGGAGTCTGTTTTCATTTACATTGGGTAAAAGGCAAAGAAACTTTGGAAAGATGGCATACTGGAGTTACATTACGAAATTTAAATATTGTGGGCTTTGTAAGTGCTGTGACTAGCATTACTGCACTGATTTGGTACCTGTTTCTTACGTTTTATTATCAAATTCGTAAGCATATTGTAATATTTTAGATATTTCACATTTACTTATTTATTTTACAATTTTTTATTTTACAATGTTAGTTTGTTTTTAATTATTTATTTTTAATCCTGTATGACCGCATCTTGTTTATACACTAGGAAATTACTTGCTAACTTACAATATTTACTAGTACATAAAAATTCATTTATTATTGTAGCCATTCAGCCAATTTCTGAAAGCACTGTAATAACAGCAGTATGGTCCATGATCTGTGGAAAATGGGGTATTACTTTAATGTATTACTCAAACAAATATGAATTATTGGTCCAAGAAGGAGCATCACCTATACTTACAGATAATGCCTGAAATATGATATTATAATTTATATTTTTATATAAAATATTTTTTTATAAAATAACAAATGCATAAGTTGTATAAATCGAACCTATTGAAGTTTTTATTTACGAGGAAAATATCTATGTTCTCATAAACTCATTAAATGAGAAAGCGCAAGTAAATGAATTTCATTCATTTATTATATCTGCAAATTTTTGTTCTTGTGTCTTTTATTTACGTATATGCTGTGTAAACATATTGTTAGGAATTACAGCGGAGTTATTTCTTCTTGATGACATTGGCAGGTATTCTTTCAGTTGATATAAATTTGGTATAAACTTTTGTAAAATAAGTATTAAGTATATCTTAAAAAATGAAAAGATTATGTATAAAGCCCATATATTTTCTCCATTCAATCAGTAAATAAACTTCATCGTAATTATAAAATTGTATATTTTAGTTAAAGCATAAGAATATTATATCTATTCCCTGTATATACATTTGTATGTAGCTGCTTCTCCCCCTCCTCTCTCTCTCTCTCTCTCTCTCTCTCTCTCTCCACGTATAGACATATACGAATAATATAACGAATATATATATATATATATATCTTACATGTATAAAAGTATAGGAGTTAACAAAGTGTCTTATCTTAAGGAGACAATTTATAAAGTGGATCGATAATTGTATATAAACCAATTAATGAAGAAATTATTCCAAGTAAACCTATTGTACCTGGAGTACATTTTGTGACACCTAATGCTGTCAATGGAATAAATAAGTCACATCCATTTTTAACAGTATCCATCGTTACTTCCTTGTGATTTTTTAGACAGGATAATATATAATATTGTTTAAATACATTCTTCTTGTGTTCCAAAATCTTGACAATCTCATAAATATCTCTTATTAAACTCATAACGATAGTTAGTAACCAATACTTATTAGCAACTTTATTCCATTTTTCTAAATCAACTCGTAAAATTCCTACTCTGCCAATCCAGATGAAATGATCTGCTAGTAAGTACAAAGCATTTGCCATCTTTGCCATGGTTAATGTTATTCTCACCGTAGGATCAGGATACTTCATCATTTTTAAAGCCGAATAGATGCTATCTAAGCATCTTCCAAAACGCAGCACTAGAAAGAAAAATATATATATTTATTTATCAGCTATAGAAACGTGTTTCTATAAACCGGAAAGTTATCATTACATTTTCGAAATGAGCTAAAAGTAAACTCCAAACTTCTCAAAATTTCTACGGAGTATCTTGTGCTGTGCGCATTTTGTGCATAGTACCAATACGCTCGACTTCCATATTGAAGCAACCTGCAAGCAAAATAATTTTTGATATTTCTTATAATATTGCTAAATAAAGCATAGTGCTTCATAATTTATAATAGTGCTTAATACCAATAACAAATTTTTTTCAATATAAATTGGAACTTCTTAACAATTTTTTCTTAATAGAAATTTTTCCTAAATACCTATAGGCTGTGTGTTCCAAAATTTATATATTATATTATAATACTGAAAATATATATTTACATCACGTGCACTATATATTTCAGTACTGGCAGTAAATTTTGGGACACAGCCATAATCTTTTGGTTATAAATAATGGAGAATAGTGAAAGCTTTTCACAATCTAAAATAAATTCGTAAATAATACATAATTTTCTTTGTGTAATTTTAAAATAAATTTCTATAAAAAATTTTGATTAATTATTTAATCATAAAGATTATACCAAAAGCTACAACAATATATAAATGACATTGACTCTTAATTTTTAATAAATATAAAAAAAATCAATTTTTAATTTATAAGAGAATGTGTCACTAAAAATTAAAGAATTATGATAAAAACTATTCAACGTTTAGAAATAAAAATCTTTGTTTTAAATTAAGATGCTTAAAGAACATAATGCTCGGCATGATGTAAACAGAGAATAATACTGATCGTACAAGTGAATAAAAGAAGTAAAGGATTTTATCATGACACACCTTATTAGTTTGTCCCTCCCTGCCGTTTGCTCGTTCAACTTTACAAAGATATCCATAATTTCTTTCGAACGAAAGCAACTTACTTTAATTCACAATTGTGTAACTAACAAAAACAGAGATAAATAATTTTAATATATATTGTAAAAAAATCATTTGTATCCAAAACGGTAGTTTAGAAGGTCTTACAAGATAAACATCTAAAGCAAATATCTTGTCGCTCTTTAACGTGTTTTACATTTGTGATAACTACATATCTTTCACAATCGCTCTCCATTATCACGAGCTAACAAGTGTTGGACTCTGCACTTGGAAAGAAATCATTTAAAAAACTAGCAATAACTGATGGCAGTGATGCAACTACTGAGAGATTATGAACCATTTTAAATTCGGTAATTATTGGGTGCTTTCCAATTGCAATATCCCTAGACACTTTCTTGCACATGGCGACACAAGTTGCGTTCCAATTGTCCGTTATCGTTGACACAACACTACTCATCCATACTCAGTCGAGGGCTGTGTAAGCTTGTTTTTTCTAGTGACAATTACATGTTACTAACTGCGGCGACTATAAATGAGGTTAGAAGACGTTGAGTGACTAGCACTTTTACTTTTTTTGTTGGTAATTACAGTTTAGCCGCTCACCTCAAAAATCGATGAACATAGGCTCATTCGACGCGTTTTCCCTAAAAACGAAAGAATCCGGCAGAAATAAGCGTCGCTCTGCCCCACGAACCGAGTTATTAAGCGTTAAAGTTGACGATTTCAGGTTAGGAAATCTGTCATACCGACGTTACGTTGCGACTGAAATATGCTCTGTGGTCATATGCGCATGCGTTGTACGTACTTTTCGGTAAGAGTGCACGAAATTTAAAGTCATAACCTATGTAGACAGTGGGGTGTGTGAATAGTAATGCTTGGGTTCGGGCGGCTACGTCGCCCTCACGAAATAAAATAATATCATATCCTACCCGCTTGGGGCCTAACCGCGTGGAAGTTACAGCTGAGACAGTGCCCCCGCTTGGAATATTTCTAAAGTATTCCAAGAAAGTACCGCTTCAAAACTACAACAAATCAGTGCTTTAAAAGCACAAATTCACTGCTTTAAATACACAAATTCACTGCTAATGCAAAAAATTTGTGTATTTAAAGCAGTAAATTTGTGTATTTAAAGCAGTGAATTTGTGTATTTAAAGCAGTGAATTTGTGCTTTTAAAGCACTGATTTGTTGTAGTTTTGAAGCGGTACTTTCTTGGAATATTTTAGAAATATTCCAAGCGGGGGCACTGTCTCAGCTGTAACTTCCACGCGGTTAGGCCCCAAGCGGGTAGGATATGATATTATTTTATTTCGTGAGGGCGACGTAGCCGCCCGAACCCAAGCATTACTATTCACACACCCCACTGTCTACATAGGTTATGACTTTAAATTTCGTGCACTCTTACCGAAAAGTACGTACAACAGAGCGACGCTTATTTCTGCCGGATTCTTTCGTTTTTAGGAAAAACGCGTCGAATGAGCCTATGTTCATCGATTTTTGAGGTGAGCGGCTAAACTGTATAATTACCTTTTTGTTTAATATACAGGCGGAAAATCTACATTTAATCTAACTCCATCCGAAACGGATCTCAACCGTGCACAGCGTACACCCACTGTAATTGATTCTGTACCTCGGAAATTTTCACAAAATGAGAAGTGACCATCTTTCTATATTAATGTTCACAATCCATGCACGAAAAAAATTTTTTTTCCCTACTGGACTATGTTACGAACTGGATTATGAGATAGTGTAACACAGAATCAGGAAGTTTGCGTTCTATTATCGATTTTATGGAGAACCGTGATGTATTGTGAAAAAATGACTGGTAATGTTAAATTAACATAATCGCACAGAATCGGGTAACTCTGTGTGGTGCAACAAGGATTTTTTGATGTAACAAATGAGACTAGCAAAGTATGAAGCATAAGGGACGAAAAGAATTTATGACTTCCGTTTTTAGGAGAAAAGGAAAAAATTTTTTTATGTAATGATAGACGTTAAAAATGATATGACTAGAAGTTTTTTATAAGTAAGATCGACGGCTTAACCAAATTGTAAAATTTTATGTTGCGTAGGATAGGAACATGTTAATTAATTTATAATAAAACTGTTAATACTGAAGATGGTCCGATTGGGACCGAAACGTTTATTTTCAATTCCATGTATTTAATAAAGGATTTAAAATAATCGCCACTGTTACCTGGTGTTCGTGGTATATGCCTTTCGGACAAAGAATTGTTTGTTTGAATTATTTAAACAACGAAGATCCAGCTTCGACCGTAATAGGCATTTTAAATTTCTAGATAAAAAAATCGTTTATAAATGTTTTTAAGAATTTTACTAACTGACCAATCAAAAAATACTTTGAAACATTCGTAGCATTGAGTGGACCGTAGCCGCAGATAGCCGCAGAAAAGAATGCAGGCAGAGTACTGCAGAGTTGTGATTGGTCGCGCTGTTCCGTTCCGCTGTGGATTTCCACTTATGGGACGCCAGCCATATCCCTTCCTCATCATCATCGAATGCAGTCAAGTCAAGTGTCGTTTTCGTCTTGTAGTTGCTTGTAATCTGGTCTGGTGTCGACGTATCCAAGATGGCGAGTACGGTGAACGAAATTTCGACACAAACGAATGAAAACCTAACGGAATATCAAAATGCAACCACTGCGAGAGTACCGTCGACGCCCGAAGGAATGGCGATTGCGTATGGCAGCCTCATTATTATGGCCATTCTACCAATTTTCTTTGGTAGCTATCGTGCGGTCAAACACCATAAGGAGCAGCAGGTTAACCACGAGTCTTGACATATGTTTGACATACATTTTTACAAGATCTCTTTTTTTCACATCGTTTTGATCACGACAGTATATCATGATTTGTAAGAAAATTCTTTGATGGTCTGGTATTTATCCCTTTTTCCAAATATGAATTAATTCTTCATGTAATTATAAGATTAAATAAAATTATAAATTCAAATATCCAATAAAATCATGAAGAAGCGCAACGGGATAGCACAATGAAATGCGCGCTATAGAAATAGTACTACGATATAATCGCAAAATTATGTACCATTTATGTAGATATTGTTAGTTTCCCTTGAATGTTTCACTATTTCACTTTTTATTTTATAGCAATTGTATAAAACAAGTGGCGAGCAACCTGACACAATGTCTCGTAGAGAAGCTGCCATGTTTCCTCTTATTTCCAGTGTTACATTAGTTGGCTTGTATATATTATATAAGGTAATTGGATGTTTGTATATAAATGTTATTTTTATAGAATGAAATGTTAAAATTCCATTTTATTGTTTTTTGAGGTGCTCAGTGGTAAACTGTATAATTACCAAAATTATTCTTGACAGGTATTTGCAAAGGAGTATGTTAATTTGATATTAGCTGGATATTTTTTCTTTCTTGGTATTCTAGCTTTATGTCATCTTACAAGGTAATTTAAGCTTTTGTGTGTATAATTATAAATACATCATTGAATCTCTTTAGTAATTTCAATGAATTGTTTATATTTGATCATTGACTCATCTTTAGCTGTATCAAAGAAATTTTTAAGTGTTTTAAAATTTCAGCCCATTAATTTCATCATTAGTACCTGCTGCGATTCCAAAGACGCAGTATCATATTTTATTTACAAAAGGAAAGGATGATAAAGAGGAGCATATAATTAATTACAAGTTTAATCTTCATGACATTGTATGCCTTGTGTGCTGCTCATTTGTGGGTGCTTGGTACCTTCTGAAAAAAGTAAATGATAAAAAAATTGGTTACAGGTTTAGACATAGATTGAAACTTTTACATCTTTGTTACTCTGTTTTGTTTTTTTTTTTCAGCACTGGATAGCTAACAATCTGTTTGGCATAGCATTTGCTATTAATGGAGTCGAATTGTTACATCTTAACAATGTCGTGACTGGATGCATTTTATTGTGTGGTCTTCTGTTTTATGATGCTTTTTGGGTGTTTGGTACAGATGTAATGGTAACGGTGGCAAAGTCCTTTGAAGTGCCGATTAAACTTGTGTTTCCACAGGATCTTTTAGAAAAGGGCTTGAATGCTGGTAATTTTGCCATGTTGGGATTAGGTGATATTGTATTGCCTGGTATCTTTATCGCATTACTCTTGCGATTCGACAACAGTTTGAGCAGAAAAACGAATATCTACTTCTATTCGACATTTTTTGCATACTTTATGGGATTACTCGCCACCATGATGATCATGCACTTGTTCAATCATGCACAGCCTGCTCTACTGTATTTAGTACCCGCGTGTATAGGCACGCCATTGCTCTTAGCCTTAGTCAAAGGAGATCTCAAGGCGTTGTTTTCGTAAGTATTTCTAAATTCTTATCATTGTATGTTATATCCGTTTCTTTATGTTTGTAACATGCATGAAAGATTTTTTTTCATTACATTTCAGATATGAGGATCATCCATCACCACCTACGAACGCGGCAGAACAATCGGAGCAGGTGCAAGTAGAAGCGAAAAAGGACAAATAATATCCTGATTGAATATAAAAAAAAACACGCTATGTGTGATTTGCATTATCTTGTAATTATCTTTCGATTTCATCGTGCGTATGGAAAATGGAAAATATGAGTAATAGTTCATAGTTCATGCTCAAGACGTACAATCACGCATTGTAAAATACAATAGCTTATAACTATATCTTGCAAATACATAAGTTGCAAGATATATCCATATAATATGATTCACAATGAGCGTTCACGGATATCGTTTTGATGTTGTTTCGATCTGAAAAGGAAGACTTCAGCATAGGATTTAGAACTATGATAACCGAGAACGCTATTTCGAATGCATACAAAAGAAATTTTTATCACTCATATATGGTATCAATGATGGCATTTCGAAATAGTGAACAAGAAAATTTTAAACAATAAAACAGAATTTGATTGTTTTATTGTTTTATAGGATCGAGACCCGACGAGAGAGAGAGAGAAAGAGAGAGAGAGAGAACCTTCCAATTGTTAATTTATATTTCGTATGCAGTGTGCACAATAGACTGCTATAAGAGTCTACCGAAGTTTTATAGTGTGTTACGTTGTATAATTCTAGAAATTAATTTGGTATAAATTTCAACTCCAGTTCCAATTATATATAAGTTTTTATTAATATTCCCGAATTTCTGAATATTTTTTTACCATGTGTGAGTGATAATCTTGAATTATGAATGTAAAAATGATTTTGTTTCCTTGCGACGCGTTAAACGAATTAATGTAAAGAATACAGTTATTACCTATCTAAAATTATTATAACGGAATATTAAACGTACACCATTGTAGTACACAAATGCTAATATATATTTATTTGTAAGAAATGGATATTTATGATTAAAATTAATACGAATATCTATTTGGAAAAAATATAATGTATATACAAATTTAAAAAGTCTGTTAAATTTGCACATTTTTTTTTGATTTGCGAAGAAATAAAAAAATAAATTATAATTCTAACGAATATATAAAGAGGATATAATGTTCATTTGTTACAATAATTCAACTAAGAAGAATAAAGAATTTTTTAATAAATGGGTTTGAATATTTTGAATCATTAAAACTTTGTATTGAAACGTAATTTTAATGTAACAACTATTTGTAGAGAAATAAAATGTTCTTTCTTTTTTTCTTCAGCCCTGTCAAGAATATGGTTATAACGATGTTAGCGCGCATTTAGCGTGTAGTTACATTACTATAGAATTTCATAAATAACAGCACGCACTTTGACGCTAAAAGCACGTTTTTTAAATACGGATCCCTATTTTTGTTCGTTTTTTTGCAAGTAACTTCAAAATGGCAACTTATATTGTAACAAATTAGCGATAATACTAATCACTTTTCATCCACTATCAGAAATTACGAGTATCATAGTAGTGTCACATTCCATGAAATTATTGTATTCTGACAGTCCCCTGTTTAAGAAAATTTTTCCTATTTATACAAATGTATGTTAAAATCTTTAACAAAAAATTCATTATTCTTCTATTTGCTCATATCTTAGAATATCGTGCATACATACATACGTATATATGATAGGAATAGAAAAGTTAAGACGCATTGATTTCAATTGTTTTCAAAAATTGATGAAAAGTAAGCAATTACAATCATTGATAATTTCATCGTCAAATTTTATGATTAGATCTTTTATTTTTATAATGGAAATATTGTTTCTACCAAAAAATATTAAGTAAACATTTCTTTTATGCTTCAGCAGCACTTTCTACAGCCAAGTTTTCAGCTGTAATCGGCTGCATATCTTTGATTCCATCCTTGGATATCTTTTGAACTTTAAAATTTGGTAAATTAACGATTAACCGCTTCTGAATTTCTCGCACGCATTTTTTCAACAATGCATATGCTTCTTCTTCGGTACAATCTGCAAGAAATATTTCTATTTATTAGTATTTTTTATTAATATTAATTTGTTGGCTGTTTTATTTCTAAACATGTCTTACTGTATTTGTGATATCTGTCTAGAACAGACATGGAGAACATCCCACCATATCCATGAGTCGCGTAAGGAACTTTTACGCAGGATGCTAAATAATCAATAAAGTATAACTCTGCTCCTAAATCATCGTCGTATCCGGCCAATAGCATATTGACAAAGTATGGAGTCCTGCTTCTAAGATAATCAGCTAGATTTCTCCTTGTGAAACAAGCTGCAGCTTTGGGAGACAATTCATAGCCATTTCGCATTTTGTATAGTTGAATATTTTTCCCAATATATTCCGAAAACTGCGTTGTATCGCCAGATTCTCCAGATATCGCCATGACAAGCTTGTCGGAAATCTTATGGATTTTGTGTTCATCTGCAAATTATAATCATTACTGTTTAATTATCGTTGTAATGGCAATTATTGATAATGTAACAGTACGATGTAAAGTTTAATTGAAAATATTGATAGTAGACGATACATTATACACATTGCTGTATATATTATAACATGATATAATGAAAATAATTTTTACTACATAATATATAATGCAATACGTTTATATATGTATGTTTAAATATATATGCGTGCGCCTATATGTATGTACGTATTATCAATGACGATAATTTCATGTGGCAATAATATAAAAAATGATAAATATACTTACCGCTTTTCATAACTATAATAGACTGTGTAGTTGTCATATCCGCCGCAACTAGCACGAAATCTTTGCACTGAATACCAATTAAACACTCCATTTTTCTGATACTTTTGTATTCGCGGCTGCAGCCTCGAGAGATATAAATAATCGGCAAACACAGCGAAAATGCTTGTCACGAAAATGACAAATTAACCTTTCGTTAATCCCAATACTGAATACACATAAAGCCGAACGAAGCCGGCGGCACACGATGCTTGGTTTCTTGCTGGATAGGCAGAATAGATTCTTGCTATCGTATTGGATACAATGTTGGCACTACCGCAGCGAATACGATGGCAAGATTCTAATCCAATAAGAAAACAAGCATCGTGTGCCGCCGGCTTAACAGATCTGTTCGTGTTGCTTGCACTCTTTGCACTGTCAGCCACAGTAGGTATGTACGTTCGGCAGTAGGTGCATTCAGTACTACGACCGCTCACTGAGCTCTTGTATCTGTTTGGTCTGTATTTTTAGATCTAATGCTGGATTCACACTGCATCCGATTTTCGTCGTACGACGCTCTGCAACCAATCAGAAAACAGGATTCCGATGGATTTTGCTTCGTATCATCGGAATTCTGTTTTCTGATTGGTTGAAGAGCGTCGTACGACGAAAATCGGATGCTGTGTGAATTCAGCATAACGCAATATGCCAATCAGATCTAAAGCTGGAAACACAATAGACACAGGCAATAGTCACAGGCAACAGGGAATAACGAGCCGTCCAATCAGAGCTCTGGGATATAATATCGAACTTATACCCCAAAACTCTGATTGGACGGCTCGCTATTCCCTGTTGCCTGTGCCTATTGCCTGTGTCTATTGTGTTTCCAGCTTAAGAGTTCACTGAGCGCTCACTTAACAAAAAAGGAATTAATCTATTAGTGTTTTCGGCCCGATCGGGTTTGCACCAACCTGGGTTGGTGGATTAATCTTTCCTATTGGTTGACGTCACCCGCTCTACCAATAGGAGAGCACAAAACGCCATTAATCCAACCCAGGTTGGTGCAAACCTGGCCGGGCCGAAATATATTGCAAAATAAATTTCAGCAATTTATAAGTTATATCACTTGATTTATATTCGTCAAAGTCTTTAATATATTAATACAGTTTGATCTTATTTCATTCTATATGTGTACAATATAAGCTTTAAAAATTAACTAGCAAATTTTTTTTTTTTCAAATACGTAACTTATTTGGTCTCCTTTTTATGGGAGGGCTCCGATTGAACACATCGCATATTGCACACATGTATCGCTGATTGGCTAATTTAAAAATAAAATAATCTCATTGTCAAACAGTGAAAAATTACTAGGCACCAGTTGATATGAGTGGTGTGTACAATCAGAACTGTAGGCAAACGGGATCCTCCCCTTTTTATTCCGTGGTTACCACGATGCTATGGGTGCGAATGGTGCGATCATGTTGCGCAGTCGCGTTACATTTGAAGCTAAATTTTGGTTGGCTGCTCCGAATTCATAACCCCATCACCATCATCGTGCGCATTAAAATACTTATAGCGTTTTCGGCCCGATCGGGTTTGCACCAACCTGGGTTGGATTAATCTTTCCTATTGGTTGATGTCACACGCTCTACCAATAGGAGAGCGCAAAACGCCATTAATCCAACCCAGGTTGGTGCAAACCCGGTCGGGCCGAAAACGCTATAGTATTCTTACATCATGATAACATGAAGGCCCGTCTACAATACACGGAGTAAGAAGTAAAAGTAAGAAATTGACCAATCACAGTCTATTATTCTTCTCACATTCGACTGTGATTGGTCAATTTCTTATTCTTACTTCTTACTCCGTGTATTGTAGACGACGCCTGACAAAATACGTGAATATCATATTTGATCATAAAAATAGAAAATATATAGAAATATTCTTTACAATTTAATTGCAAATTTTTTTTTATAATAAAGCACGTGACGTGAGATAGCAATAAAGTAATTCTATACAACCAGATTCGGATTCAGCATCCAAAAGTAAATAAAACTGTAGGTGCGTTCCGTATCTCGCATGATGCGCATGATGCATCCATTGTCCTTGTTTAACATTTGGTAAGCAACAAGGATAAACGATGCATTATGCGCATCATGCGAGAAACGGAACGCACCCTACGAGAAATGACTAGTCTCGTTTTTGTGTTCAAAAAGTCATTTTTTGTTGAATTGTGTTATATTCGAATCTTGATCTCTTAATTAATTTGAAACTGTAAGTATACTTCATCAAAATCTTAACTGACAAGGGTTTATAATTGATAGGGCATTATTATTATTTTCATTATTATTATTACTATTATTACTATTATTATTGTTACTATTACTATTACTATATTATTATTGTTGTTGTTGTTGTTGTTGTTGTTGTTGTTAAAGAAGAAAGGTATATGGAAGTATGGAAACATTATATATTATGTTGCAGCGTACGTAACCTACAATTTCCGCGGATCCAGATATAATAGTTACAAATGATTGCGCACGTGTGACACATTGCATGGCGAATTTAACCACGGAAACAGATACATTTTCGGAAAATAATGCTTACAATAATTAGCCTGAAAACCGTCGCCAAAACGAGGCTAACCCATCATAGATAAACAGAGCGTGTTGCGTAAGCGATTAGGTACTAAAAAAAGACGCGTGCTTTTCTACGATTCGCTTCCGTTCTTAATGTCCTCGCGCCATTTGTAATGACGCACGCGCGTCACAATCCACGAATACGAGCAAAATACATCTAAAATATTCGTTAATCGACCAATCATATCTGCCATTTTTTTTTATACACACGCAATTTATTTCAACAGTTAAATGGTTATTAAGTGTCGATTTGACTTGATAAATTCAAAATCAATGATACATTAAATTTAATTACCAGTAGTAGAATTTTGATCCTACGAGCCGACAATGAGGGACAATTAAACAAATAAGTACTAATAATAATTTACATAAAAGACAATAGATCAAGACCTCTAGCTTTTTTGACCGTCGGAATAATATCAGGACACTTTGAAACTCGAAGATATGAGTCGCGCATAATCTCGTCCACAATTCCAGATATATATATATATATATATATATATATATACTTGGTCGTATCGAACGATCTCGGCACGGTCAAACTTTACACACGGTAACTTGTAAAACTCGCCGCGTATCAGCGAAGGTCGCCCACTATGCCGCGCCGAGCCGCACCGCATCACCGCATCACCGTTCCGTTACGCTTGGATCCATTCGCGACTCGTAATACGTTCACTGAACTTGCCACGATGAACCATGCCAACGCGAGTGCAGAGGGAAGTACATTTCGCTGCGATCGAGCGAAGGCACGCCGTATCGGATCGATCTGCGAGGTGCGATTAGCGAGATCCTCCTAATAAGAAGAACCGACGCAGCATCCCGCTACCGAAACAGTTATGATGGATCGCCAGCGTTTTTTCTATTAGTCGATCGTCATACATGCGTCTATTTACATAATGCGCCAACGTATTACGTTCTCGATGCGATCGTGAAAAGAAAGAAAATGCATGTTACGATGAATAAAAATTTAATCGATAGAGCTGAAACGAAAAAATAGAGCGAAATTATGCTTGATGACGCATTCGAAAAATAGATAGCTGATGAGCCCTTCTCGTTTCATCATAATCGCTCTAAGAATGTAGACGAGCAGATAGCTGTCTCGGAAAGATCGGAGAGGTCTCCATTTAGATAATGTCCACTTTTGCCGATGTAGAATAGAAGAAAAAAATAATTCTCTAAAGAATTTCAAATAATAAAGAATAAATTAAACCGAAATTTAAAAAGAAAATTTATTTACGTGGGTAAAAATGGATACAAGCGAGAGAGAACATACGTTTCTTTGATTAATTCTTGGTTAATTTAATCAACCAACACAAATCTTGATTTTACCAACCGTAGACGTAACAGAGGTATAGTGCATGCATTCGAATTGAATCTACTAATTTTGACTAACTTAAGAAAAATTAGCTATTCTCTTCTAGATACATGTGGATTAAGAAGAAGCGCGAAATATGATAATCATTCGCGGCACTTGCGGAATGGGTTACTCTCGAAGAAACATCCGCATTCTTATTAGAGATGTGCACATCTTATATATGAATATAATATACATATATATATATATATATATATATATATATATAAAACACCTATAATGTTAAAAGTCAGATAAAATAAATTATATTTAATCAAAGTTTCTCTCAGAAATACAACAAAATATGATTTGTCAATTAATTTCGGTTATTCAATCTTTTAAATATTATTCGTGACTCTTTTATGTTTTTAAAATAAGCATGTTTGTATGTATGTACGACCACTACACGCTTCGCCACCACGAACGAAATAAAATACATGCGATAACGATACCGATAATAATTAGAATCTAAATCCTTACAAATATATTGAATATATGTGACACAAATTGCTACGAGCGCAACCATGTTCCATAATAGATATATCGTTACGACGAAAGAATTCTACATGAAACGTGTAAACTACTAGAACGCGAGAAAAAATGATTTTGGATGTGCGTACAATCGAAAAGTTATCAATTCGAAATGTTTCTTCTTTACTGTAAAATGACTACGAAAAAACTGCGTTCGTCCAAATAGATGACCTTTTTGGGATTCTTACTAATCGACCTGATGCGATTGGATAGTTCCATTGAAAATGGTAGCAAAGATGAGCGGTCATTGGCCGAACGGTTTACCCCCACATGTGTACTCACAGGCTATATAGAAGACCCCGCGAGGAATTTAATCTTCAGAACTGAGAGTCAGTGTCACGGAAATCTACCGAAAAGTAACTAAGTGAGTAAAATAGATTTTTATTACTCTTGCAGGATCGCTCATACATTTATCTATTCATCTATCTATCTATCTATCTATCCATCCATCTGTCAATTCATCTATATAAATGTATATGTATGGATATATTCACATACGTATGTTTGAGTGTGTGTGCGTGCGTGCGCGCGTGCGTGCGTGCGTGTGTGTGTGTGTACCTGTTTGCTTTCTTTGCATTTCTGCTCTGAAGAAATTAAAAATATCTCAAATTGTATATGTATAACTGTGTGATACTTTTTTGAATTCTTACATAGAATAAAATATTCCATGCTTATTTATTATTAATAAAAAATTATAGCAAACGCAAGTGCACACACTTTTATTAAATACTTAACTATATAGTTAAACTGTCAATAATACGACTTTAAAAATCTAAGAAAAAGCAATTAATTATGAATTTCGTTATTCGTGTTGTGTGTGTGTATTTATTTATTTATTATAATCTAATTATTTTTCCAAAAGTAAAACTTATTTAAATCAAATCTAATTTGCAATTTGTATTTGCAATGCCTATATTTTATTTATTATTATTATTATTTAATATAATTAATCTATTCGTTGTCTCAGTTAATAGTTACTTGCCCTATATGTTTACTTTTATCTTTCGCGTCTTAAAGATAAGTAAGTAAAAAATTATTTCATTCTTGCAAACAGTGCAATTAAAATTGGAATAATTTTTTTGAACGTTTCTCTCACATAAAATATTTAAATAATACGTGAAAATGTTTCTTATCGCGTGTTAACCTTTTTCTCTAGAAATGATTCTGGCTTAATTTCCGTCGCTGTGGAATTGTCATTATACGGAACCACTCCCAATGGACCTCATGAGAGGTAGTTGCAAATTTTTTTTCTACGCCAGATTTATCGCGTGCAACTAAGTAGAAAATGTTTGTCGCCAGGTGTAAAGATACAGTTAGAAACTCGTTTTGTAATTTTTTCGCCGTGACGTGTACCGTTTTCCAAAGGTGCGCCGTGCATCGTTTCTCGTCGTCAGTGAGAGCAATCTTTCTCATTGCTTTCACAATCGTCACTTTGTTACCTTCATCGTCACCGATATTAACATCATTTAATTCATCATTTTCGATTGCATCACATTTTGTTTATAAACTAAATTTATGTATTATCTATAAATTGACGATAAAATCATCATCTATATGAAAGATATTATCATGATCGTTTTAAACACTAATTTTTAATGCCGACGATGACATCGTCTTTTCTAAAGAGACGGACATGACATATCTATTAATTAAAAATGTTTTTTTCAAATTTTAAATAAAACATGTTTGGATAAAATGAAGACTCCACGTATTGAAAATCGATAGACACGTAATATTTCCTTGAATGCTCTTTAATTTCTACAGTTAGCTCGAAGTTGATATGAAAATTGAAGCTAAATTCAGTAAAAATAGTTAGGGTAACAATAACATAAAAATATAAACGAAATATATAAAAAAATTGTCGATATAAAAAAAAATGTTCTCAAGTAGCACAGCAGCGTCTGGAAAGCACTAAAAGAAGCGCTATACACTTTTTTAGCACTTTTTTAACGCTTCGTACTACTTGAGTTGATATAGGACAAATTTTTTTTCACTTAATACTTATGAATTTTATAGATCCATGAGATAATGAGAAGTATTTCTCAGTGATGTTATTATTTATACAAAGTGAAGATCATGCGAAAAGTTTCCGAAGACGTTCGTAAGATAGATGCTGTTGACTGCACTACTTGTGGATTTAACTTGTGGACTCCTCGGCTTCCTCGATCGTCGCACCGATTACTTCCTTTCTTGTACTTTTTTTTTCATTTTAGTTTTTTGAAATTTTTTAAATTTTTTTCGGCACGCGAACCGGTTGTTGCTACGATCGGTAGTAGGTCGTGACCGCCTTTTGGAGTAACGGTACTTGTCGGGTTCAACAAACCAGTACCGGCGTGCCATCGGCAAGTGGGCTAACGAGCGATCGGCATGCTTACCGTCGAGGCGACCTTAACCACTGTGGCACACTTTCAGCAGCATCGTACAAACATTCTCGGCTTGCACTCTGCCACTATGCCCGTAATATGTATTCAATCGCTTCCGTTTCTTGTCCTGTTCAAGATCAAGGTGAAGCTCATCATCGGTCGTTTATCCCTATAAATCCTATTATTCGCTATCTGTATTCTATTTCGCAATTAAATTGAATATTTGAGATTCAATCTACTGTAAATAACTATCATATGCAATTTTATGTATTGTCTTTAAAAAGAAAACAGATAATTTCTTATTTTCACGTTTCAACAGTATCGATAAACATTGTTGTTATTTTTCTAGAATACGATAATAATCGTATTAGTTTTGATCAGTATCTTCTGATGGTGGGAAAAAAATTACGGAGCAATCGTAATTTTGTATGATATTATCGAAGGATTTTTATTTTACTTGCGCAAATTTTAATCTCGCAAATGAAACACATAAAGAAATACATTTGAATATCAATTGAATTCCTCCATCATTATTTGTCAGAATCATCGTTCCACGTTTCAACTACCGCACGGCATACTTTCATTTCTGAATCATCCTGAATTATCTCGTACTATATATCTTTTTCTTCTGAGTTTCCAAAATCAAGTCATCGCTCTATATTACTCTATAAACATTAAAGTTTCTAACAGAATTTTTATATATAATTAGTACCTCTTACATAAATATACGTTCGATTATGTCAATGTGATATATGCATAATAATCAGGGAATGGAAGTAGTACTACTAGTTACTTGTAACGCTGTTACGCTTTCCTTATCGTTACTCTGTTATAACAATGATTTGGCGATGACAAATTTTTTTATAACTGTAATGAGTAACATCGGGGTTGGTAAGTCACTCGATCGTTACTTGTAAAGCATTGGAAAAGTCACTCGTTGCTGAAAAAATTAACTCGGTGTTTGTAACTCATTACTTTTTACTCGTTACTTGTTACAAATTATCTTTTTCAGTTGGTAAATGATGCGAGCGACTTTTCAAAGTGACTTTCTTGACCTTAGCGCAATCTCAGCGTTTAGTTAGAACTCTTTAATTTCCTAATCCCTGATAATTAATAGTATAATCCATGCGCGCATGCATGTGACTTTTGTGATATACCCGGGGAATGTACTCGTATATGTCAGTGAACACTGCAATCGCCGATTGTGAAAAGAATATTTGTAATTTTCACGTTTTATAAATATTTACAGATTAGAAATTATGCTAAAAATGATGGTGAAAGCTCCTTTTGGCAAGAAATTTATTCTAATTTACAGATACTCTTACAAATTATATACAATTAAAAATTCAGCAAAAATGTCTTTTTTTTTTTTTTATTACAGAATGCAATATAACCAACACGTATCGTTCTGCTTGATCGCACTTGTCTTGGGACAAGTCGCGACATTACCGCAACATTCTCAATACACGTTGCAATACCCGCAACAGTATCAACAACAACAGGTCAGAGAGGAGAGAAAATTCGCTGAGAAACCGAATGCGATGAAAAAAGTGGCGATCGACGATCTCGAGGATATTAGTACTAATCAAATTCAGGTAAAAGATTCAGATGTGCGCGCACGTACGCACGAACGATTAATTTAATTTAATTTACAGTTGTCCGCTATTTAATGTTTTCTATCCTCTTTGAGGATATATTTATTATGATATGTATTATTTATGTGCGTTCTCGTTATTAGATTTTTAAATGGCAACGATTGCGAACATATAAATTATTCGGAGTTTTGAATCAAGGATTAAGATAATATTATCCATTTTAATTTTGAATAATTTGTGATGATTAATTGAACAAGTGACATAATATATTGATTTTAATTGACAAACTTAGAATTTATACACTATAATGATAGAATAGATATTACTAAAGATGACGTTTTATTGATTATTAGTATAATAGATTCAAACATAGCTCCTTTAGCTCTGATTCGCTTAATTAAATTTGTATTCGTTTAGAGCTTTATTTAAAATTATAATTGTTTAATTTAATTAAATTATTGTATTACTGCGTCACATACAATACAATCACAATAGTATATCTAGGAATCGAAGGAATAAACGTTATTCGGTTTTCCGTTACACTTGTAATATATGTATATATCAAAATTCAGCAACTTGTCTTTTTCTCCACTACATCATATCGTGATATTCTTTGATGTTTCTGCAGGAAGGTAGCAGCAGCGGTTTCTCATGGTCTAATATGTTAGGAATGCTGATGCAAATGCTGCTAGGTCAGACCGGAGGTGTAGCCGGACCCAGCAAAAATGAGATAGATGATGGCACGACTGTGAGTCCATGGACCAATCTGCTTTCCGTGGGTCTAAGGGTCCTCACGGCACTGCTGGGCGGACCCCAACAACCGGTGGATGGTATTGACAAAGTGGACAATCAAAGTAGTCCCATGCAGGTAAGTAAAAATAATCGTGACGTTCCAACGTTATCGTGAACCTCAGTTCCACTTTAAACATTATTTTTCGTGGGACTGTAATGATATCGATGATTAAGGGCCTATTCTGTAACTCTTAGGCCGGTATTCATAGTCGGTTCTTATTTTAAGACCGTCTTAAGTAATGTCTTAAGTTGCTAATGCGGCCCTCTGATTGGTTCATGACATCTTAAGACTGTACTTAAGACGGTCTTAAATATAAGATCCGACTATGAATACCGGACTTATATATATATATAACGACTATAACTGTAGCGTAGTTACAGTGTCGTTGCGTAGGCTTTGTAAAAGGGGCCGTGCAAGGGAAGGGATGCTGAGGGTGCACCGCACCTGGGCCCCCTGCAGTATTAAGGGGTCCTCAGGAAATGATCGAGAAAAGAAAATAATTATTACTTTATATGTATAATAAAAAATAATCTGGAAGAAAAAAATTCTCAAATATAGTCATAGCTTTAGGAATATATTTCACTCTACCTATAACTATGGCATCTGCCAAAAGAAGTTTCAGAATAAATTAAAATTGATAAAATCATATTTACGCTCCCCGTAATGGGGCAAGAAAAGCTAAATGCTTGTGCAGCAATGCCTTCTATTGAAAATGAGATAATTAAAGACTGTAATTTTGATTCCTTAATCAATAGTTAGGTAGAGAAAAGTTTTTGATTTATAAAACTAAACTTATAAAATTGTATAAACTTATAAAATTGTATTATACAGTAAAATTTATGAAAGTTTTTATTATTTAAAGGTTTAAAGGTTTATAAAGTTTTAATTATACTGTAAAGTTAATAAAAATTTTAACTATACTGTAAAACTTTATAAAAATTTTAATTATACTTTTTTGTTATTTTCAAAACTTCAAATTTTTTTAATATGAAATTTGGACAGGTAGGGCCCCATCTTTACCTTTGCAGTAGGGCTCTAAAAATCCTTTGCACAACCTTGGTTTTATATGTGGTAAAAACTAAAAAAGCTGCGCAACGACACTGCAGTAATCATGCTACAGTCATTCATGGTTGTTGAGGGTTAAACAGCTCCCCAATCTGATTGTAAGTGAAAACATCATTCTCATACCATAGATTGTAAGTACAATATAATATCGAATCCCTTTAGTTGCATTCAGGATCGCTAGGTAGATTGTAATCTGATATTAGCACATAGCACATAGATGTATGTACGTAAGAGGATATCGTAATCTGCGAGATTTAGGTTACCGAGCATGTTATCTGAAATGTCTTTGTCGCGAAGAATTTTTCTCTGTCGCAATGCGAAGAAACCAGTGAAGATTATAGATTCACATATACCTATAAATATGTATAATAGATTGCTAATGCTAGATTGTGTTACAATACTATATATAATATCTCTCCTTACTATATTTTGTATTAAAGGATATTTTTAATGTAATATAAATAATTCATTTCCTTTTTAATTAAAATATCTAGAATGTATGATTGTATCTCTTTATTTTTATACTTATGTGCACTATACTTTGCTTCTTAATAATGAAATTTTTATAATTATTGAGGGGAGAATTATAGGGGCAGCCTCATTCGTATTACAGTTTGGAGTTTCACAGTAAGTTTAAATCCAACACTCATTGTCAGTAGAAATTCATAAAATACGCACGGCTGCTTATTGTCACGAGCTACCCATGTACGACAACTATAAGAAAGGCTGCGTCGAATAATTGTCCTAATTACAGCTAACTATTATTTTTGCGTACTTGCGCGTCTCTTTACGTTTTCTACACAATTTAATTTGTCTCGCCGCCGGAAATTCAACGGCGTTTCACTTCGCTTCAATCTTTGTGCTTGACGATTACATTTGTGTGAAAGCATATATAATTATAAGGTAGATAGTTAAAAATATAGGCGAAAATTTTGCTTTCGTATTATGAAATAAAATTTGACTGCAACTTTATTGGTGCAGCTAATGGAATTGTTATCTTTCTGCCGACTTAAATATTGATTCGTGTCATTCATTGTAATACGTCGTTAATCTGGCAATGTGCGTTAATTGCAAACTTGTCTTCGATATTATTCTACGGTGATAGAGTAAAAATTGTAATATTGTTTTTTTTTTTTCAATATTACTGTCAAAAACAGCGTTCGTGCTCTTACACGCTTTTTTCTTTATACGTATATTATATAAATAATTGTCAAACTTTAGACTTAGCGCACACATTGGTTGGTGTCGGTTGTTTAGGAAATTTTGACTGCGGTGCTGGGCGCGTTTCTAGGACAGGGCAGAGATCCCGAACAAGTTGCTGTAATGGCGAAAAATGCTTCTGAGGTTAGTACGAGTCTATAAACGAATGAATTGGACAATGACGTCTAACTCTTCAAACTTTTTATCTAACTTTAGAACGAAAGCTACAAATGCGTGCTTTACTCTTAATTATACTTTGTTGAAAATATTAAAAATATCAAGTGAGAAAAATGGAGGTTGAATTAGTTAATTTTGCTTAACCGTGTCTCCGATGCGCTTATTGTAGTATATTGTATTATATTTATGCTAATGTACAATGCATTTTTAATCCAGCTGTCTGTTTTATAATCCAGCTTCTTTTGAAATTGCTTTTAACATGTATGTTAGTTATTGCAACACATTCTCGCACATACAATATAAATAATAAATATGATTTTAAATAACTGCGCAGATTAGACAAGTTTAGTTTTGACGAATAAAAGTCTTGAGCGATTTTGCATGAAAAATAATATAAGGCTATGATTTAAAAGAAAAAAAGTCGTAGTCATATGAGACTGTAATTTAAAAGAAAGAATGTACATACACAGTTGTGATCGTCCCAGTTCTCTATTGAGAATCATTGTCATAAACCAATCTTTATAGCTACTGTAATTTGATGACAGGTTAGTTTCGCATGTATCTCCAAATAGCAGATCGTAATGAATTTTAAAAAAATCACCTTTCTAAATTCTTTATAAATTTCTTTAATTAATCTGTTTGAAATTAATTTAAAAAGTAATCACCCGCGAGCGTTGCGCTCACTCGCCATCAAATTAATGTCACAAAAATTTATTTCTAATACATAAGTAAATTACTTTACAAGATAGAATAAAATGCGCAGCATTATATTTCAATTATATTTTTAATGAAATGTCTTAATTTAAAGATGAGCCTCAAAAATGAAGCTCTGAGATAAAAATAAATAAAGTGCTTTGACAGTATAATTTTATTTAGTTCTGTGTAAAAATTAATTGTTAGAGATATCCTAAAATGTTTTTGAGAGGATATATATTATATTATATAGTAGGATATATTATATATTTATGTTTATTAGGATATGCAATACTATTTAAAAACTACTTTGATTTCATTGCGAATTCTTCTAGATTAGAAAAAGATTTTCTCTTGTATTTGAGAAAGAACTCAGAATTGATGATGTAAAAGTGAAATCTCTTTTGAAACTTTTAAGAATGTTTTTGGATCAGAAATAAGATGGAAGGAAAATATATTTCATGATTCGAGGATTTCAAAGAATTATTTTTAGATTCTCTATGTTATATCTATAGGTCTATCGTACTTAACCGTCAAACGTTTTTTTCTCCGTATACACGTCTTTGTGAATATGATCGCTTATATCTTCGTTTATACGTGTTATTAAGCAGTTCATCAGTATAGTCATCAATCTACTGGACGCCCTGAAAACATCATTCTCTCATCGTTCTCTGACGGCTCGCTCACTCGGAAGACGCGACACTGTTTCCGAAGCTGCTATAGCGTCAATCTCTATGCTAAAGGTAAATTCAATAAATGTATATCAGGATTCACCGATATATATATATATATATATAAAAACGATAATTGAAATAAAATAATACTTCATTTGCGATTTCGTGCAACATTTAAAAAATTACCAGTGATCTGTCGTTTTAAGACAATAATTGTTAGATCCAGACATTTACAATTATATTGTTATAATACTTATTGTAATATTTATTTAAACATCATTCTAGTTGTTACGTAATTATTCATCTTCGTGTTGTTACACGATTATTTTGTATTGTAAATATATATCGGGGGAAAAAGAGAAGATTGTACATTAAACGTGATTACATGTAATAAGTTGTTACACTTTTGAGCGAAAATACACACACGCACACATACATGTATATATTGAACACATATAGAATTGTGATTCTAAATTTAATTCGCTAGGGCTACATGAGATCCGTCAAGTCCTTTAGTTACGTAGGTCGTGCGGAGGAGGAGGGACAGCGTGGATGCGCCGAGAGGGCACTTTGTGAGGCTAGTGCGGAATGTATCGCCGATACGCAAGGTCCATCGTCGATTTTCTGCCAACTTGGATCGTGAGTGTCCGTTTTTTGTGTGTTTAATTTTTTTTTTATAGCTGTAATAAAAACAATTTTTTTGGAACAATAGCGTAATTTTGAATTTACCATCTTCTTAGCAAGCTCTATAGCAAGCATTGGAATATAGCATTTTGTCATTTTTATGTCATTTTATGTCAAATTTATTGAAATTATAATATAACAGTTTCGGTCTGTGGTAATGGATAGTTAAAGATTGAATTCAACTTCCTCAGGTACGCAACGAGTTATTTCCTGCAGAGGCAGAGCGGCGTCGGCTTTGAGGCCTTATACGAGGCAGGACGACGTGGTCGCACAGGCGAGGATTGCAGAACTCTTTTTATGGATTGCAACGCTGTATAAGGCGAGTTTAATCCCCACAGCGTTCTGTCGAACGTAACTTAGATTCCGCGGGATTACGGATTCTCTTTGCCGATCAAAATTAATTTGAAGACTTCTCGTACAACCTGTACATTCTATGCTTTATCTTCCGATGGAGAACAATGTGGAACTACTCGAAGCTATTTGTATACATTACAGACAACTAAATAATATAATATGAAGGTTTAATAATTATCTGAGAAATGCCTAAAAACGTCATAGTTGGGTCTTTTATAGGACCTAATTTTCGAGCATTCCGGATATTATTTTCGTCAAGCATTCGAATGACATGTATTTTCAACGGAGTTTCCGACGTCCTATGGCTTAAATCATGTTAAAACAAAAGTATATAGAGTTTTAATCAACATATTCATAGGTGTGCACCGAGCCGGGATTCGCATCGAATCTTGCTAGCTCGTCAGCTCGGCTCGAGCTCACGGTTGAACATTTCTTCAGATAAAAAATTCGCGTAAGTGTGTACACATGCTCAATAATGCAGATTTATTTAACATTAATCTGCGATCCCAATGTCGCGAACAAACAAGGCACACTTGATGCTTTAATCCCGCTTATCTCGAGAACAATTAGATTAAATTTTTTGATCGAACAAGTTTAAACAAGTTTGCTAATCTCTTTATGAATTAGCTTCTAATAATACACTTTGATCAAGTTTTATCTACTAAAGTTTCTCTTGTTTTCTTCCTATTTGTCACGTTAAAGGTGCCAATTTCATGCAGCGAAGGAAAGCTGGCTTTTTATCCCTATTCCACCACAATCAAAGCAGCGTTCAAAAGCTATTCGCTTTTCTCCTGCTTCCTTTTCATGGAGCGTATCTTCGCTAGCTTTAATTTTCGGATATATTGCCAAAAAATTATCAGCCATGATCGTTAAAAACACACTTGATCACACTTAATGACACTTAATGACACTTAATTCAATATAAAATAAAATATATTTACGATAATATTTATATCGCTATATTCTACAAATGAATACCATATATGACATGATATGTCATGCATTTCAGCTTTTAGCGATGTTTCGCTATCAATTGAACAATATCAAACTTTGAGCGTAACTTCGCTGTATACGAAAATTGATGGAGTGGGGGTAAAACGCCAGCTTTTATTAGTTGCATGAAATGGTACCTTAAGAGTTGTACGTATATCTTTTATTTACGTATCGCCGAGTTTCGATTATACAATTATACGACTATATTTATTTTTATTTATTGTGCGTGTTAAACGTAGATGTAGTATTTGTGGTTGGGACTCGGTGCGAGTTCTAATCGTTCTAGTATTTTGACGACGATGACTATTATGTGCAACAGGCAGTTTATATACGAGTACATATAAAATTGTTGATATATTTTAAGTTTGCGATCAATAAAATTGTTTTAACATCTGAAATGTAATATATATCTTCAAAATATAAAACTGTGAATAATGAAAACAATGGAATTTATATTGATTTAAGCGTTATTATAATGGATTCGTTTCTCCCATTATCAGTGATCTTCAACCTGCAACCTGTCTGTAAACTTTTTGCGGGCCATCAGATCAATACTAAAAATATACAGTCATATTTTCCAATATTTTATACATATAACCAGTTAAAGTAGTTTATATGTATAACTAGTAAAAAAGTTGGCCACACCGCATGGTCGAAATTGAAAAGGTAGTAGTCGCCCGCCAAACTTTAAATTAAAATAACTTGAAAAATAATTTTATTATATCATACATTGTGTGTGTTGTATTCGCTAGAACGGACACTACAATTTTTATTACATCAAAATATTTATTTTATAGAAAAAAATTATGCTAACCTCTCCGTTCTCTAACATAAATATTTTTTCTCAATGAAACTGTGCAATCAAGTTTAATTGCAGCCGTTCAATTTCAAACTATATTTATTAAGCCTATCTCTGTTAGTTTACGAAATAAAAATGGATGACCACTTGTACAATACACCCTGTGTGTACGTACGTGCGTGCATGCGCGTATGCTGCTGTATGCAGGGGATCCACAAAGCGCTCGTGTGTAGATAGAATGGACTAAACTGAGTCGAAAAGTCCTCTACCATTTTATAATTTTCGCAATAGTTAACAAGATATTAATTACTAAAAATCGTTAAAGATTAGGCCGAGTTGCTGAGGGACACCATTTCTGCCGATGTGTGTATGTCATGTGCTCGCTTTCGACGCGCCGCCGAGAGCGGTCGGAGCCTAAAAGATTGCAACACTTTTTCGATGGGTTTCGGAATGTAGCTTATTCATCGAGCGATTAGTTTTTATTTATGGGTCCATAGGCAAGAACCAATCGCTTGAGGAGCAAGCTGCATTCCAAAATCCATCGAAAAGAAAGTGTTGCAACCTTTCTGTATATGTGTATATATGTATATGTATAACGCATGTATATATGTATGTATGCTGATATATGCATGTAGGTGGAGTAATTTCCTTTTAGACTCTGACTGTACATAGGCTCATGCTTGTGTGTGTGTGGGTGTGTGTGTGTGTGACTACCGATTTTGTCGCATTTCGCTCAGGCCGCCGACTGATTTCGAACGCATGCTGACTACTCAGGAGCCTTAATGAACTCTGTGTGTTCAAACATTACTATTGTTCTTTAAAAAATATATGAAAGTATAAGAAAGATAATTGTGATTATACAAATTCACTTTCTCTATAACATAGCATATTTTATTAATATTTTATTTGTTCAATTAATATTCCGATTGACAAAAAAAATATATACGAGCATATATACATGCATATCTCGATTTTTACATATTATTATATATGTAAAAGAAAGAATTAAAATTTCTAATATAATAAACATGTACTAAATGTAATTTTAAAAACATACATGCACCTTTTAATAATTTATTTAAATTCGACATTTCACAATGATAGCAATTTAACGAGTTTCGTTATATTGAATGACCTTCCCTATTTAACACTCGTGTTAATATCTTAGCTAGGATACTTCCTTCCTTTTAACATATCTAAACCTATTAGCTGCTGTATATAATAAGTATTATAGATTTATGTCTATTTACATATACATAGATATGTACTTGTGCAGATATATATATATATATATATATATATATATATATATATACATAAACATATACAGTGGATCACAAAAAGGTTCCAACACTTTTTTTCAATCGGTTTCAGAACTTTGTCAGCCTTGCTCGAGTATAGAGCGGTTGAACATAAATGGTTAGCTGTCTACGTATAAATAAGAACCGATCTCTCTGTTGAGCAGTCTGCATTCCGAAACCCATCGAAAAAGTTGCAACCTTTCTGTATACATGTATATACGTATAACGCATCTATATATGTATGTATGTTGATATATGCATGTAGGTGGAGTAAATTTTCTGTTTTTTCTTCTCTTTGTAATATTCCCATGGTAATATTTCCATTAGTCTATATACATACATTTTAATTTACAAGTCTAAGTTGTATGTATGCACGATTATAATATTTTAATAAATATAATCAATAAAAATGATGTTATTTATTTACTAATATATTCATAAAATAATTTTTTCTTATTTTAATCGTACTAAAGGATTTGCCTGCTGAAGACTATCTGCCCTGCAAGATAGCATATCCATGTGTGATGTTGATGTATGTGTGTTTGTAACATTAAAAATACAATGTCTGAAAAAATCGAACTGTGTGTTACCGTCAACCAGCGTGAAGTGTAAAGACTTGAGAAACCGTGACCGTACTTTGCTGTCGGATGACAAGATTTGTTATCAACAGTTTCATACTGAATCTCCTTGGAGAAGGAGTTCTCTGAATTGTCTCAGTGTTGCGCAATTTAACAATCCTTTCTTCTCTCGGATAATTTCTTTGCGTTAAAGGTAAATGAAACAAATAGTGCAACTTATCAATATTAAAATTCATATATTTATTATTATACAAAAACATTAGCTACTTCTATATAATAATAATAGACAAGATTTACGTTGAATTATAAATAATTTAAAAAATATGAATATTTTGTAAAAAAAATGTTTATTAAATAGATGACGTTCAAGTCTTTAACAAATTTTGGAGGCTTTGGGAAAGCTCCTTGGGACAGGCCTATCGAGCGTTATCACAGTGACGGAAGTGGCTACCATCATGGATATCGTAGGTATGTTAAATCAAATATCTAATTACACCTAAATTCATTAATATTGAAATTTGTATAGATATTTTACAAAATTATTTTTTTATAATAAAATATTCTTCTGAATTTCAGAAGTTCCAAAGGAAAGGGTGGAAGTAGCGCTGCACTGAGTGCGCTGACCTTACTCGCTTTCCTATTTCTCTTAAACGTCATGCAGGTAATAACGTATACGTGCAAATATATATTAATATATATTTTTAACACTCTGTAGTTTGCCAACGGTACAGTGCCGTCACGCAAATTCGACGTTCCAGTCCGCCGCGTCGCGCTGCGTCGCGTCGCGCCGCGACGCGACGCAACGGCATAATAACGTCGAGGAAGAATATTAATCTTCTTGAAATTTTATTATTATTACACATATATCTCTATTATTATATATTGTAGGTAAAAGTATAAACAAAATGTTGCTTAATAATTATTTCTACTCAACGTAGATTCCCTCAATGTAATGTGGTATTATGTTTATAATATTGTGAAAAACGTATCATATAAGAAAAACAAATATAATTAAATAATGAAATTAAAATAAAATTTATAATTTATTTTATTTTGTGATATCTTAAAAGACTTAAAAAGTGATACTTATTTTCTTAAAGATTCAATTTTTTCCCTTAGAAATAAACTGCCGTGTTTAATTATTTAGAATAAAAGAAATGCAAGAGATAAATATATAAATTTATTGTGCTTATTTATATTATAAAAGAAAAGTGTGCAATACTAAAAGCAAAACAAAATATTTTCACTTCAATAGATACTTTTTATCGACATGTATATTTATACGGTAAAAAATGTGCAGTTCAGTTCGTTAATATATTCACTATCATAGCCTATATATATAACCATAGTTTCTTTCAGTCGGATATGGTGTACCCTATATGTATAATGTAATACAAGGTACCCCGAATTTTCCATATAAGCTTTTACGTTCTATAAGCTGAAATAAAGAATAATAAGATTGGAAATAAGACCGTTTATGTTAGAATAGTTAAAAACATTACTTTAAATAGGAAGCGCCACTACGGTCTGAATGTTAAGATGTGAACTATTATATATATTCATTTAAATGAATTAATTTCAGAAATTATAATTGCGTGCCGATATAAAATAAAGAGTTAAAAAGTTTAAAACAAAAATATAACATTCGCAAACGTTGAGATGAATCCTTTTCAATTCCAATGCATTTTTATTCATTTATAGAAATTGCATGAAGCATATTTCTGTGCCTTTCAATCTGAAAAAATTCCAGTTTTTTAAATGCATTATAAATATACTACTCAATTCAAAATATTAAAGTTTTTTTTCAACCCATAAAATCTAAAAAAAAATGAAAATAGACTACGAATGCTACTAAAATATGCATTCGGATGATTCGAACGAATTAAAATTTCAAATCCAATTTTAATCCATTCTCGTTTATTGGAAAGAGAATACACATGCACACGATATACAATATATACATATATATACATATGTATGTAATGTTTATATTTCTTTGTCAGTTAATAACTTTCTATTCTTCTCTAATTAAAAAATTATTGGCATAATAATTATTCATACTTCCTTTTAGCAATCCTTACAGGATAACAATTCGACGCTCGTTCCAACGACCACTACGCTGTTGTTGCGAGACACCGAATTACCAATCATCTTGAACAATGGAGAGGAAAAAAAAGCGGAAACGAAAGACAATTTCGCACGTATAGCAAGCGTGTATGCTTCAAAAGCTACTACAACAAAAGACTATGCGCAACGAAAGGACTAATCATCTGACAATGTTATATTTTTTGGAAAACTCTTTTTCAAATCTCTCACATTTTTCTCGTAAACATTTGAAAATACTTATTCTTGTTCCTTTTTTTAATTAGATAGATTTTTAAATTAGATAAACATTTTGTACAGTTAAATATTATAAACAGCAATAAAAAATGTAGACAATAAATATAAAATTCAAAAATATTTAAATAAAAATTTCCAAATGTTTTTTTCTAATTAGTTACAGGATAACCTCTCGTAAGCAGGTAAAGTGGACTAAACTAAGTAGAAAGATCCTCTACTATTTTTCAATTTTTATAATAGTTAATGAAATATTAATTTCTAAAGATCGCCAAATATGTGCGTATACGCCCGAGCTATCGTCAAATGTAAGCGTGCGACGTAATCGCGTCCAGTGCTGCACTGCGAAGAGATGT